GTATGATGAAGAGTCTGCGGCAGGTCTGCCGCAGACTTGCTGCAGACCTGCCGCATACTCTTTCAGTATTCATCATACTCATCATACTCATCATATTCATCATACTGAAAGAGTATGCGGCAAGTCTGCGGCATGCTGCTGCAGACTCTTTCAGTATGATGAAGAGTCTGCGGCAGGTCTGCCGCAGACTTGCCGCATACTCTTTCAGTATGATGAAGAGTCTGCGGCAGGTCTGCCGCAGACTTGCTGTAGACTTGCCGCATACTCTTTCAGTATGATGAGAGTCTGCGGCAGGTCTGCCGCAGACTTGCTGCAGACCTGCCGCAGACTCTTCGTCATGAATATTCATATCTCATATAGACCTGCTGCAGACCTGCCGCATACTCTTTCATATCCAGTACGTGGCAATAAAGTATGCATGTAGAAGAACCAGTGATAAACTAATTGATACTTCATAATCGATATTGGCAATATCGATATTACCAATTAGGTAATACCAATATATATCGATATTACCAATTAGGTGTATTCTATTCTCAATTGTATTAACTTCATCACATTGATCATTTGAAGTGTATTCATGAGTAACATTTAAAGTGACACAGGCTCGTACACATATATATACTAAATATGTATATTGTTTCTTGGTTAGTAATCATAGTTTCTTGGTTAGTAATCAATATATCTATTGCTTAAACGTGAATGTTATTGTAACATGATCAGACAAAATAATCTATTGGTTAATAATGGCAAAAGGAAAATAGAAATCACAAAAATGATGTGCATTGTCTTAATTTGCTTAACAAATCATGATAGATGTATTTTTCTGTCACACGTGTAAAGTAATAATGAATATGCATGAGATGATTGGTTTCAATTGGCCCTATTAGACTTTAATGGGATTTCCTGTGGCAGACCTGCCGCAGACTGTTCCTGTGGCGTACTGGTATGCGGCAAGTCTGGAGCGAAGTTTCACCCTGCCGCAGATCTGCCGCAGACTGTTCCTGTGGCATACTAGTATGCGGCAAGTCTGGAGCAAAGTTTCATCCTGCCGCAGATCTGCCGCAGACTGTTCCTGTGGCATACTAGTATGCGGCAAGTCTGCAGCAAAATTTCATCCTGCCGCAGATCTGCCGCAGACTGTTCCTGTGGCATACTAGTATGCGGCAAGTCTGGAGCAAAGTTTCATCCTGCCGCAGATCTCAGATCTGCCGCAGACTGTTCCTGTGGCATACTAGTATGCGGCAAGTCTGCAGCAAAATTTCATCCTGCCGCAGATCTGCCGCAGACTGTTCCTGTGGCATACTAGTATGCGGCAAGTCTGGAGTAAAGTTTCATCCTGCCGCAGATCTGCCGCAGACTGTTCCTGTGGCATACTAGTATGCGGCAAGTCTGCAGCAAAATTTCATCCTGCCGCAGATCTGCCGCAGACTGTTCCTGTGGCATACTGGTATGCGGCAAGTCTGCAGCAAAATTTCTTTCTGCCGCATACTTCGGCATACTCTTTGCTGCAGACTAAAAGTCTGCGGCAGGTCTGCGGCATACTTTTCACTTTCCTATGGGATGCGGTTGAGTGGTTTTATATTAAACTGAATACTAAATTCTACTGCTTCCGCCTCTTCTTGCTTCTTTCCTCCTTAATATTTCCCCCGCTTATTATATTGTTAACACGCACGTGTTTATAATTGCAAAATAACGATGTTCTTTTGTTATGGAACTGTTCTTCCGGTATCATGGGTATAGGTCAGTATTATAGATATTTGTAACCTGTATCTTTTATGGGTCATATATATTTCATTGGAATTTTATCTTTTGGTATAGGTCAGTGTTATGAATATTTGTAACCTTGAATGGGATATATATATATATTGGGATTGTGTGGTCATGTCGAATCCTGTTATGGTACAGGCCTAAATATACACTGTAATTTTGATTTCAAGAAAATGTATCACTGATAATCCTTTGTCTCTTTTAGTTTCCTTTCATTTTCTATAGTATCTTCTTTCCTTGCTGTCAGGGGAGATACGGTTATAATATGCTATTTAATATGCTATTTTATATTTTAATATGTTGCCATATACAGCAACATCTCCTACACTTATTCAATGTGCCAAATGTTAATTAGCCTATACATTTGTTTGTAATTGATTAATATTATATAATGTATCTGAAATAATGATACCGCATTTTGCATTTAATTACATCACTTATAATTGTTTAATAGGCCCTAATTACTTTTCAACTTTGAAGGTAACCCAAGGCTAAACTTCTTATTTCTGTTTTATGTAAATCATCCATTGGAATTGGGACAGGAGGCTTTATGCCACAGTAATTTAGTTAACTTTTTCTGTCCCTGGCGTTCGAATGGTTGATAACTATGTCTTATTTTGTATTGTGTACACTGATATGTAATGTTTTCCTTTGCCGAATAAATAATAATAATAATAATAATTTGATCGGTATTACCGAAAACAACCTGGAGGAGAAAATTGCATTTTCCCAACCCAAGCTCAAGCCAAGCAATACCTAATGTCTCCATGCTACTACCGTCTGCATTCCTGACCTTGACCCCAGTGAGATTTGGTCTCTTTGCTGAAGAGATCCGATGATACAAGGATGAAGACAAAATTGTGTCCGTTGCTCCACAATCTGCCAAAAGTCTTGCCTTCACCCCCCTAACCTCTACTTCAACAAAGAGTCCACAACGTGCCTTGTCCGATCTGTAATTTGTAGTTACTTGTCTTATAGAAGGTGCTCCACTTAGAGACTCTGTGTCTCTCCTGAGCCCGTGTTCTCGTCCAGCCTTCTCCCGGGCTCCTGAGTCGGCTGGGTCCCGTTTCCCGAAGGCTTCTGACTTCCCCGTCCCTGAGGGCAATCCCATTGGAAGTGTCCATGCTCATGGCATTTGTAGCACTCATCAGTCTCTGTTGCTTTCCTCCGCTTGTAGGCATTGGGTCTCGATTGTCTTGGTTCACTAGTTCTGATGGGTGTTTCCTGTTTGAGAAATCTCTCTTCCATCCTTTTGAGTTCTTCCCAGATCTTATTGATTGTCACCTCTGAATCAACATCCACAGCCCTTGACTGCCTTTGTCTCCGGCCAGACCTTTGTTCTTCTAGCTTGAAGAAGTTGTCTGTTGCAAGGGCTGCCTGAATGGCTTCATCCATTGTTGCTGGCTTTGATCGCAAAACTCCTTCTCTGATAGATTGGTCTTCTATTGCTTCCGAAAAATGTGTCCTAGCCAACCGATCCTGAGCATCTTCACTTAGCTCTGGATATGCCAATGTAGACAAATCCCTTATGGCCTGGCCTAACTCCTGTAGGGTCTCTCTTGGCCCCTGGCGCCTATGTAGCAGTTCCAGGAGGTAATTCTCAGCTAACTGTCCGGGCTTAAATCTCTTCCCTAAGAGATTCACCAGTTCGTGATATGTGATATGTGACGTATCTACTGTCTTGTTACCCAGGATCTTTATTGCGGCCCCCCTGAGACTGGCTGCAAGAAACACTTTCGCCTGACCATCACTCCAACTATTTGCCATCCGACAGGCTTCAAAATGGCTGACATAATCCCTCCATGGGGTCTTCCCATCAAATCTGTCAGGAGTTATGTTAGGCTTATTCAGCTTGACGACTGAATGTGGCTGAAATCCCATTCCATCTTTCAGCACCTCGGGTCTGCGCATCTCATAGTTTAAGGGTCTCATTCTGGGTGTGTCAACCTTAGGCATGTCCAAATCATGTCTATGTAGGAGGCTTGCCACTGGCGTCCCATTATCTGCTAAAAGAGCAGCTGTAGGAGTGCTGGTTGGAGCCGACATTGCCGCACGAAAAATTCCCTCTTTGGCTCCTGGATGAGCCTCCGTCACATCCTGTTCATTGCGAACTGTAGTGGGCGCTGTCTCACCCTGGAAGTAGTTGGGAAAACTTATTGGAGATTGCTCCATATGTAGCCTCTCCACTTGCAGACTGAGAAGTCGATTCTGTTCTAAGAGTTGTTGGTTCTCCATCTTAGACTGTCGAAGATCCTCATCTCCACGCTGAACCTCCGCTGCAAGCATCACAATTTCATCCTCCATAGTCACTCGTTGAGCAGCCATTATAGGATTCTCTATTATAATTATGACAACACAAACTCCAGTTCGGCGCTATATCTGCCGGCGCCTATATAGGCGCTATACCTCCAACGCGTAGGCGCTGTCACTGCCTGGCGCCTATAGGCGCTATACCTTCAACGTGGCGCCTATAGGCGCTATACCTCCAACGTGGTGCCTGTAGGCGCTATACCTACAACGTGGCGCCTGTAGGCGCTATACCTTCAACGTGGCGCCTGTAGGCGCTATACCTTCAACGTGGCGCCTGTAGGCGCTATACCTCCAACGTGGCGCCTATAGGCGCTATACCTCCAACATGGCGCCTGTAGGCGCTATACCTCCAACGTGGCGCCTATAGGCGCTATACCTAACACGTATAGGCGCTATACCTCCTACGTGTAGGCACTGTCACTGTATGCGTAGGCGCCAATTTACTTCCGGGTTCGCTATTGGAGGAGTTCGTTCTGAGTTGCTCGGCCACGTTGCTTCAATCCCACCGCTGCCACCAGTGTGGCGTAACCGGGCTCTGCCGGGGTAGCGTTCTGCCTTGCAGTCTGTCAAAATCCGGTCCACGCTCTCGACAATCATTCATCAACTATATCTCTCAGTGGGCTCTCACAAAAGTATATCGTGTAAGAAATAACGTGGATTAGCTCTCATTCACTTACTCCCGCAATCACAGATTATCTGACAGGACTAAAGAAATAACACTTACAGAGTGTTGGCAGTTTGGGTAACTTTATATAGTTTCTTGTACCTGTCGCAACGACAGCTCAACATCGACTGACCGACTTCTTACGATGTCCATGCACATATATATTTCACAATTATCAGTAACGCCCTCTATGTCTTACTAACTTACTGGACTAGTTATGCTACAATATTCTTGATCCGCCCTTATGTATTCTCACCTGTGGCGTCGCATGCTACACCTACATCTTCTGAATGTGTGCAGTCATGCACTCCCCAGCCGCTGTCAGTGCAGTATTCCAATCGCTCTTCATACCCATAGCACGTCACGGAATCGAGCCAAATCAGGCCCTCCACAGTACCATACCCCTTCTGATCGGCTGTGAAGTAATCCGCTTTCCCAGAGAAGCCCAACTGCCTGCAGACCACTTCGCTAGCTGCTCTATCCCAGCTATCATCGCAGACGCTGCCCCACTGAAAGTCCTTGAAGATCTCCAGGCGCCCTTTCCGTTCGGAGGGGCCATCAACCAATCGCACTTCTCCATTACCTACACCAGTCAATGATTAACAAGGGGTAGAACAGGGAGGTGTTTCACAAAGATTCTAAGTTGAACTTCTCTCTATTAAAGTTGGACTAAACAATTACGGAAAGCGGTTAGCATCTTTGAAAATATTTTGTAAAAGGTATTTTAAAAAGGCATAAAAAGTTGTAAATCAATCATATTTTCTATTATCATGGGAAGTATCATGTTCTTGATGTGGAATTTATGAAAAGTCTAAACTACTTGAATTTTTTGCTTTTGAATATGTTTTCTTTTAAGTCTACAAATGGCTTTCCATAATTCTATTAAGTCTAACTTAGAAATAAGTTTGACTTAGAAGTTTTGTTAAACACCCCCCTGATGTATTAAATAGGACAAATCAATAGAAAAAATATAATCAAATCAATCGAACCAATTCTAAATACACTCCACAAGTTTGGATTATTATCAGAAAGCAGTAAAGATGTATATTATTAGAAGTCAATGATTTAATCCCCCCCCCCCCCCCACACACAAAAAAGCAACTTACCGCACATATCGTCGGCCGGGTGGCAGAAGGGCGTTAGCGACTCGAAAACTACTTTTCAAATTATTCCCCTTTAAAAATTTGTTTTATATTTAAACTGCTTTCTGTCCGAAAAATTGGTTCAAAACTTAAAAGACTAATAGAAATGTTATAGTAGAACACGGCCACAATTTTTTCTCTCAGAAATAAGTCAGTTTCATAACAATAAAAGGCGAATTAGTGCTAACGCCCTTCTGCCTAATGTTTCTTTTTTTTAACCTGAAATTTAAGCTAACACCCTTCTGCCACCCAGGCGACGATATACACACATAGTTGTGCCATTCAAATTACAGAGTTACAGAGAATATTCAATGAAAATTACAAAGTATGAAATATGACCAATAATTTATCCCTAGAAACCAGGAAATTTGCAGATGATATTCACATAAGTTTTAGGTCAACTACTTTTCAGATAATGACAAAAAATTAACACAAATAAGGAAATTCTCAGGATCTGGCTTATACGATGGTTTCACAAGAAAGTTTGGCCATGTTTTGATGATGTAACATCAGGGTCCAATCCTGCTTACGCAGACAACATCCTATAACTAATGAACATATTTTCAAACGTATTACACACCATTACAAATGGAAAGTGATGCTGATGCTGAAAATTATAATTCTTTGCTTATGAAAATCCAGTGCAAGGATAAATGATCGACTGACTTAAAAACCACTGAAATATCAGCCTAAAATTGGATGGTGTCCGATCTTGGTTGAAATGCTGCACATGCTTCGGTGTATGTAGCTGAATTGCTTCTTTCTTACAATCCAGTGTGAAGCTACCACTGATTTCTCTATTTTTTTTCATGTAGCTGCATTTTTTCATCAAAATGAGACCGCGTCCGAAATTTATAGTGAGGCAACAGATGAAACGGTTATGTTGAAACTGGTGAAGTAAGAGAAATAAGTGAAGAGGAGACAACAAAACGGGTACTGGAAATGTGTGAATTGTTATAGGACATCGTCTGCTTATGCTAAATCAGTCCCTAGAGTGACTGCACAAATCTCGGCAGTGTTTAGAGAGCTCTTCACGTGTGAAAGTGGGGCTGTATTTTACCGTTTTAAAATTGATAATAACTGTTACTTTGAGTGTTTCCAAACAGAGAATTTTGAATAACTTGTTTGATCTATGAAAGTACATGTATGGTGGTCTGGTGGATAGGTCAATGGACTGTGGATCACATCAACATGGTCCATGGCTCGAGTCCCTCCGGCCCCTTGCAAAACCTTAAATTTGACATTTTCTGTCCTATTTTGTTCAATTTTCACCAGACCGATTTTTCTGCTCTCTTTTAGATTAACGGTAGTTCATTATCAGTAGCTGCGCCATGTTGATCGACATACAGGTACAGTCAAACCTGCCTACAGCGACCGCCCAAGGGAAATACAAAAAGTGGTCTTTGTAGGCAGGTTCCTTTAGTACATGTTTAAATGAGAAAACCACTTTCAAGGGAAACAATAAATGTGGTCCTTGTAGAAAGGTGGTCTTTGTAGACAGGTGGTCACTAAAGCAGGTTTGACTGTACATGTTTTGTTGTCATTATTACAAAAGGACAATCCTGTTCACAAGACTTACCCGAAGTCAATGAGCACCTCACTCCGGCATCTTCTGCATGACTGCAGTTATGGACTCCCCAACTACTTCCTCCAGAACAATCACTCAACCTGTCCTCCGTGCCCCTGCACTGCATATCATCAAGCCATATAGTCCCAGAACCCTCGCCAAAATGAGCTCCCTCGTACACCGTGTCAACGCCAAAGTAGCCAAGGTGTCGACAAACTACCACTCCATCCTGGATGTCCCAGCTGTCGTCGCACACGGTGCCCCACTCACGGTCGTGAAAGATTTCGATGCGCCCCTCGTTTTCATCCGCTCCACCGGAGAGTCTCAATGTCTTTTCTAAATCTGAAAGACACATACAGATTAAAGAGAAGGTTGAGTTCTGGGAAGAAGTGAAATAAATAATTTGTGAGCATTATTTCAAATTTCACATTTATTCATGTTTCCAATAAAACATTACAAATCAATTATGAGCATTTAAAACAAAAGTAAGAAATACATGTTGGAAACAGAGGGGTCCACTAAAAAGCAATGGTATAAGAACATCAGAGTAAAAAAGTCCCCTGAAAAGCATGGCCCTTCAAATGCCTTTATATTCTAAAAATGGCATGCAGCAGCAGCATAAAAATAGGAACAGATGTATGTTCGTGTAGTCCCATATACATCTTTCTGTGTACGGTGCTTGTAACTTTACCAAGACTGGGCCAAATTTCTTATCATTTTGATGATTCCAGAACCTTGCAGTACACACCAATACTTATATGCTAGATGATCAACCTTTTTTGATCAATCCACACCATTTCTTTCACAATAGAATAATAATAATAATAATAATATTCAGCTTTTATAGCGTTTAATAATCCTGGAGTTCTCTAAGTGCTTTACAGATATATCATTTCCCTGGTGTGTGCACAATCTCCACTTCCAGGGGAGCATTCCAGCCAGGATACTCATTCTAACACCTGGGTCAATGTCGCTATTCATAAGGACCGCTATTCATAAGGTTCGCTATTCATAAGGTCCATTATTCATAAGGACCGCTATTCATAAGGTCCGCTTTTCATAATTGGAGAAAAGGGTCATTATTCATAAGGGTCATTATTCATAAGGACCGCTATTCATAATCAAAGAAGAGGGTCGGTATTCATAATATTAGAAGAGGGTCGCTATTCATAATAGGAAATCGGGGTCGTTATTCATAAGGGTCCCTATTCATAATATTACAAAAGGGTCGGTATTCATAACACAGAAAGAGGGTCGCTATTCATTATACGAAATGAGGGTCGCTTTTCATAATACAAAATGAGGGTCGCTATTCATAATGCAAAATGAGGGTCGTTATTCATAAGGGTCATTATTCATAATAAGAAATGAGGGTTGCTATTCATAAAAGGAGAAGAGGATCGCTATTCATAATAGAAGAAGAGGGTCGCTATTCACAATATTCGATGTTTTTAAATAGAATAAGCGTTGCTTATACCTAATATAATACATTCCTTTTCTGTGGGACTAAATAACTTTCACAATGTTGAGCATTAATTTCCATTACTAAGGTAAACACATGTTCTAAAGATATTTTTCTTTTTGCTAACATAAGTGATGACATGTTAACTGCAATGCAATACTTAAGACAGCCATACATCATTTATTTCATGCACTGAATTTGCCAGTATCCCTTGTCAATTCATAAAATAGAAAGCAAAATGTACAAATTTAAAAAACTTTAAATCCTGCAGTTGCTCTGCACAAAAGGGCATAAGTCTATATCACAGTAGCTATACTGTACTTGGAGTCTCATAGAAAAGGTATGGAATATAAATGTACATGTACTTCCTATGTGCAAGTCTAGTATGGTTGATGTATAAGAAATAACATCATTTTCTATTGTAGTGAGACTAACTTTGATCTGTTCAAATATTTGGATGCCACTGTCATATATCTTTCCCAAGACTTTAAAAAAAAAAAATCAGTTTGAATTACTTGAAGTGCCTACTTTTTCTTTTCTGGTACTCAAAGCCTTGCTTGCCAGACAATTTTGTATTATTTTGTGTACATGTATTTACAAGGTACAATACATGTATTACTTCTTGATCTATCAAAGTGTCTATAGAGCGTGAATGTATGTCATCCTGGAGAATATCTTCCTGAAAAAAAATTATTGCAAGATCTATAATTTAAATCCAAGATTAACGATAATGCAAGTTTATTCCAGTGAAGGGATGCATACAACATATATTTTGTTATTGAAACATCTAAAATATGTTTCATAATTTTTATTTTCTTTCCGAATCATTTTCTGGCACACCACCCTCAAAAAATGCTTGGGTTGCAGGGGCCTTTTAATGGTCTTCACATTGTGGTGGTATTCAGGGATAAAAAGAAGGAATTTTTATTTTTCCCTTTTTGTTGTTGTAGTGCAAAAGTTAATATTTATGTGTTTTACTTTTACAGTACATGTTTTCTTCTTTCTCCTGTGATTGTGTACGTGAGAAATATTAAAACTTATTGACTTTTTCAGAAACAACTCATGAAGCTTGAATGCAGTTATTGTCTCAGTAGAAGTCAATCTCATGTCAAAAGAAAATTATGTTTAGATGAATTACTCCAAAAACAAGCGAAACAACATGATTTGATTTAAACAAAAAAGGCATTTATTAAAAACCATTTAGCAGCTCAACAGCTGAATTACATTGAGTGTACATACATCATGCAAAATAAACATTCATATTTTTTTTTTTAATCAAAGAAATTATGTGGTAAAAAAAGATTAGGATGCAAGGGAGAAGAGAGAGGGAAGAGAGATAAAATGTGAGAAGAGGGAAATGGAAGAGAGACAAAGATAGAAATAGAGGAGAAAGGATAAGAGTCAAAGATAGTCTGAGAGAGTAAGAGAGAGAACGGGGGGGGGGGGTGACTTATAAACCGAATGCTGATATTCAAACAGAATGTTTATCAAGTGTATTAGATCGAACAAAGGATTTGAATTATGAATTTAATTAAGTAAAGAGTAAAAGGGTAATGAAAGGAAAGGAAATAGATTTAAAGAGAGAGAGAGAGATTAAGGAAAAAGAAAAAGGTGGATGAGAAGTGGAAAGAGGAGGAGAAACCACATAAGAGTTGAAAAGGAACTTTCGTGGAATAGACTTAATTTAGTGTTGTACCCAGGGGCGTCGCACAGTGGGCCAGGGAGGAACCAAAGTGTGCCAAAACTAATTTATGGGGATTTATTTTCTATAAATCCATAGGAAATGTTTGGATGTCCAGGGATTTCCGCTTAAATGGTATTACCAACATTTTCTCTGATATCTAAGCTTTAAGTTGATACCAGATTTGGCTGCCCGATTGTGCCCGTTATTATGTTAGAGCCGTTTTCTTTGCAACATTGCCCCGAAAAATGTGTTTATTTTGGTCCGCGGTGTCAGAACAAGTGTCACGCGCCCCCAAGCGCCGTGATTTATGACCGCGAATCCTTTATGATTCAGCCGCGGACTAAAAACAAACATATTTTGCGGGACAATGTGGCAAGGGGAATCGGCTCTAACATGACAACGGGCAAGATCGGGCAGCCAAATTTGACATCAATTTAAAGCTTAGACATCAGACAAAATGGTGGCATTAAAATATAAGCGGAACTCTGCAGAAATCTGCATTTTTCAGTGAATTAACCTTTAATATATCATGAAGATTGTGTTTCTATACATTTTAACCAATTCATGCAACGAAATAAACTATCAGGAATATGTGAGAGCAATTTCATATCAATAACTTAAGAACTTCATGTTAAATTGAAAGATTTCTAAAATAAGTCACTTTTGCACTAAAACTGTGAATATGTAGGATTTCGCTGTTTGAAGGAGTAAATTTATTCCCTAGTTGTGCTTACCGGAATTAAATATTTTACTGAGGTATTCCTCAATGTATTACAGTTCAACTGGTCAAGAAGAAAATTGAAGAGAAATAAATCACCAAAAACGAGTTTTGGCGCACTTTGGTTCCTCCCTGGCCCACTGTGCGTTGCCATGGTTACGCGGACGAGCGTTGAATCGGCTGTGCGTAAACGAAACAGTACAAATGTGTACCGATTATGCCTAATAATAATCGATGGACGTGGGGAGGAAAAGTGCCTGCACATGCAGTGTAGCAAATTCTCGCAAAAAGAAATACCATACATGGAAAGCTTAGGTTTGGGCGGACATTTTGAGATTAACATCACTGCGGGAATCGGCCGGAATCCTAATAAACATGCTACTTTTATAAAAAATTGCAATTTTTTCTTTTTTTTGTGAAATTTAATGCTCATTTTTCCCAAAATGAAGCTTCCATAAATTTGGTCATTGTATTCTCTAATTGGGTTACCAATAGGCAAGAAGTGCACGCAGTATCAAGTTGATTGCTTTTCCCTTCATAAATTCTCAACACCTATTGTAAAGTTGCCACTTTTATTATTTTTGGAGCAACATATAGATTTTCCCATGTTCGCAGGGGTATATGACACTTTTAAAACTCGCTAAATATTAAAATATGGGTGGAAAAATATTCTTTAGAATGTTTTCTTCCCCAAGCGAATGAAAAAAAAAAAAAAATTCACATTCGCCAATTTTGAATTTTGGCACACTTTGAGGCGATTCTGGCCCACTGTGCGTCGCTAACAAGGGGTGTGTAGGGTGCGACACCACCCTCCCTCCACCTATATTATTGCCGTTAAAATTGCGCTGCCATCGTGAAAAAATGAGAAAAGGTGGAGGGAAAGAAAAGAATCAAAAGAAAAGGGAAAAAGAAAGAAAAGACAAAAAAACATTAAGATACCCGTATATGTCGCTGTGTCTGGTCGGCTGTGTCCGAATTCTCGCTCGATCCTCATGCACTGTAAAAAAAAGTTGGGCAGATGTTACTGGGTAAAGCGAATTTGGGCAAATTTTGTCCGATAATTGGGTTATTTTCTCCCAACCATTTACTATATGAAGTTACCTAATGAATGGTAAAAAATAGGTTGGGTAGATGTTACTTGGCAAATCGATGTTGGGCAAATTATGTCCAATAATTGGTTATTTTCTACCAACCATGTAGTTAACGATGAAATAATTGGGTAATGTTATTGGGCAAAATCAAAGTTGGGCCATTTTTGTCCAACATTTGGGATATTTTCTCCTAACCTTTTACTACATATATTATAGTTACCCAATTAAATGTTCAAAATTAGTTGGGCAGATGTTACTGGGCAAACGCAAGTCTGGCAACAATTATAGAACATAATAGGGCCTTGTTCACATATTAGATGTGTCGTGGTCGAGTGTATTATGTCACACGACTATGGATCACAAGGTCTGCGGTTCGACTTCCGCCACGGCGCTATTATGTCCTTTTATATATAAAATGTTATTTTTCATTTGCCCAACTAGTGTCTAATATGCTACATATTATGGTGAGAATGAGGCAAATTTCTGATTGGGTAAATGTTTGTTGGCTAAAAGTTGGGTATTTTCTTTTTATCCAACACTGGGTAAATCATGCAAAATCTTTAATTTACCCAACAGTTGGTTGGACACATAATCGCGCTCATGTTGGGTAAAAATTGGGATTTTTTTTGCCCAATATTTTTTAAGAGTGTGTACTATATCAATGCAGAAGTTTGAACTCTGTGAGATGTATAATGTCGGTCCGAGCTTACTGATGACTTAAATCTGAGAGATGTTCTTGTGGATTGGTCTCTTCACAAGCCAAGGCACTAACTGAATCCAGGGCAACATGATTATACCCTACACATCCATAATAACATTCTATAGAGAAATTTCAATGACAGATGAGATTACCCATTTTATGTTCCATTTGAGTCATCTCTTGTTATCAAAGCCTTTTCCTAGGGTTTAGTCTCTCTTGAATCTTTCTGGACATTTCTGGTTCTGGTCCTTCTGGATGCAATTATAGATATGATGCTGTGTCAGAATTTTGTGATTTTCAGGTGAATATAAAACAGACAAACAGGGTGTGGTAAAATACGTATGTATATTCCGTCCCAAGTTGTTTGGGGGACACTGACTAAAAACTGATGAAAGTATTATGTTTCGTTGTAATGTGCAGTTTTCCATTTCACATACTTTCTGCTTTGAATTCAAAGGTTTCAATAAGCATGTTTTGAGTATCACAGTTTTAAGGAGATTTAAAAGTTATATATTTCATACAAACATGAAGTATATTCTTTAAGTTCAGCAGGTACTTAATTAGGCTAATTAGGTGGTGATTTTTGTACAGTAGTGGTATTTAAAAAATCAAATTGATAAGAACCAATAGTAACAAGTAGCAATATAAAAACAATTCACTGGTTTCGTCAATTTGCCTTTAAATTCAGTAGATAATGAAACACACTCCGGGTCTCTGCCTGCCCAAACCGAGGACGAATTAGTTGTTGGTTGGTTAAAAAAGACTGTTGATTAGCTTGATTTCAGAATGACAGATTTATAGATAGTCTGTGGTAATCTTTGAATAATAACAAGCACTGTCGTACTGATGGAGGGTGTGGGGGGGGGGGGGCTTGGGGGTAGTTGCCCCCAAATTTGAAACATGGTTTATTTTTAATTCGATACCAGTGATTTACAAATGTTGCTGAAATAAAACGATTTTCCAAGTTTCCGGGATTTGTTTCACTTTTTGTAAATCATACTTTTGTATGCGTTTGTTGAAAAGTGACTAATTCCAAAATTTATATTCGGGCAAAAAATATGCTAATTTAGTAGCTAACGTGTCAGGGTTTGAACCCCCCCCCCCCCCCCACACACACACACCCTTTTGAAAAAGTATGTTAATGGGGAAATATAAAGAAAGAAAGAAAAGTGACCTGCCGGTTTCACAAATGAGGTATCAAAATATGCTCATCTGACCGTAATTAAATGCCTAAAACCCCCGAGCTTCTGGGGGCATGCAGACCCCACCAAAGGCCCGTAGGCAGGCCCCTGGAAGCTCATCTGACCTTATTTTAATGCTTAAAACACGAAAGCTTCCTTGAACCTTACTGGGACTTTGCCCCTGGACCCCACGCCAATTTAAACAATATTGGCCAATTTAAACAATATTGCCCAACTTTTTCACAGTGTATAGGCTAATGGTCCGGTCAAACTCCGTTTGTTTTCGATGTTCAGAACGTTTCAGGAGGAGGGGGGGGGGCTGGTGACCGGAATAATGGGACACGTTCATTATTTATGCACGCCTTTCTTTCTTCAGAAATGTGAGTTTTCAGTAAATATTTTCTTCAAATGTTTGGGACCATGTGGCCTACCCCACCCCCCCCCCCTCCTGGCCTACGCTGTGTCCAGTATGTCGCTTTCTTATCAACATTTAGTTTATTGCTTATGTAATTTTGACTTTTTCGGTATTATGAATAGCGACCCTCTCGTCGCATTATGAATAGCAACCCCCTACTCCTATTATGAATAGCAAACCTCATTTCGTATTATGAATATCGACCCTCTACTCCTATTATGAAAAGCGACCCTCTTCTCCTATTATAGATAGCGACCCTCTTCTCCTATTATGAATAGCGACTCTCTTCTTCTATTATGAATAGCGACCCTCTTTTCCTATTATGAATAGCGACCCTCTTCTCCTTTTATGAATAGCCACCCTCTTCTCCTATTATGAATAGCGACCCTCATTTCGTATTATGAATAGCGACCCTCTTCTCCTATTATGAATAGCGACCCCCTACTCCCATTATGAATAGCGACCCTCTTCTCCTATTATGAATAGCGACCCTCATTTCCTATTATGAATAGCGACCCTCTTCTCCTATTATGTATAGCGACCATCTACTCCTATTATGAATAGTGACCATCTACTCCTATTATGAATAGCGACCCTCATTTCGTATTATGAAAAGCGACCCTCTTCTTCTATTATGAATAGCGACCCTCTTCTCCTATTATGAATAGCGACCCTCATTTCCTAATATGAATAGCGACCCTCTTCTCCTATTATGAATAGCGACCCTCTTCTCCTATTATGAATAGCAACCCTCTTCTCCTGTTATGAATAGCGAACCTAATTTCGTATTATGAATAGCGACCCTCTTCTCCTATTATGAATAGCGACCCTCTTCTCCTATTATGAATAGCGACCCTCATTTCCTAATATGAATAGCGACCCTCTTCTCCTATTATGAATAGCGACCCTCTTCTCCTATTATGAATAGCGACCCTCTTCTCCTATTATGAATAGCGACCCTCATTTCCTATTATGAATAGCGACCCTCTTCTCCTATTATGAATAGCGACCCTCTTCTCCTATTATGAATAGCGAACCTCATTTCCTATTATGAATAGCGACCCTCTTCTCCTATTATGAATAGCGACCCTCTTCTCCTATTATGAATAGCTACCCTCATTTCGTATTATGAATAGCGACCCTCTTCCCGTGTTATGAATAGCGACCCTTATAAGTAATGAACCTTATTTCGTATTATGAATAGCGACCCTCTCGTCGTATTATGAATAGCGACCCTGATTTCATATTATGAATAGCGGTCCTTATGATTAATGACCCTTAATATGAATTATGAATAGCGGTCCTTATGATTAACGAACCTTATTTCATTATGAATAGTGACCCTCTTTTGCCATTATGAATAGCGGACCCGGAAGTACGGGAATTTACACGTTATGAATAGCGGTCCTTATGAATAGCGGACCTTATGAATAGCGGTCCTTATGATTAGCAGATAGACCCCTGGGTGGGGGGTAGCAAGTGTATAGGTCAATATCTTGTTAAGGGATGTTAGTGCCATGTCGGGATTCAAACCCTAGACCTTAGCATCTCCAGTCAAGCACCTTAAAACACTCGACCACGACCAGAGCTCAACTTTATCTTTAGATTAAGCTAATCCGATAGTCCAGAGGCTGAAAGAACTCTCATCAGGGATACCACTACAACAACGTAAATTTGCTCGTCGCAGCTCTTTGTAAACTTTTGTTTTTACACCCGATATATAACCAGGTAATGCATTGCCCGATTTTGTTTCAGTAAATACATTTATATTTATCAATACATTACAAGACTGATGTGTTTGCAGTGAAAAACATATTTCCGCAAGTTAATTTTGTTGCTCAACTGAAGCTTTTCAAAGTGACTGTCTAAAATGTTATGCAAGAAGTGTCTTTTTTTATGCTAACTTTTAAAACAAATCAAATTTAGGACAGGACATGGGTTGCATATAAATATACATTATATTGCATATATTGGTTGTTGATAAAGATTTGGGTCTAGTTCATAAATGGGATGTGAAAAAAAAAATCGAATAATTATATATAAGGTGCATGTACACGAGTATTTCCTTTAGAGAAAATGGAAATTTTCAGTACAGTCCAAATAATTAGAGAAAGATACGTCATGGATAGATAAATCCTAGCTTAAAAGAGTTGCCAATTTGCTTTTGATCAATTAAAACTAAATATCAGGATGGACTTCCCCTTTAGGTTTACATATATCTTACCAGCTGCAATTAGGCATCGCACTCCTGCATCTTCGGGATGACCACAATAATGGATTTCGGCCCAACCACTATGGTGGCATGAAGAAAGCATAACCTCCGAGCCACGACAAGCTACTTCTTCCAACCAGATTAGCCCCAACACGGAATGGCCCCCGTCGATTAATATGTCGACTCCCACATAGCCTAGCTGCCGGCAGGCTACAGCGGCATCGGCAGTATCCCAGTTGTTGCCGCATATAGTGCCCCATTGGCCATTGTGGTAGATCTCGACCCGTCCCTCATGCATGGTCACTCCTCCAGCGAGTCTCAGCGATCCATCGGTAACTGAAAAACAAATTCAAAGTCTTATTTAAATAAGTTTATAGTTCCACCCATGTGGGTCCTAGGTCTTGTTTTGATGGAGTCAGGAGTTGGTCTAGCGAAGGGCTTTTCAAAGTCCGGACCACAGGGAGTGTCGATCCGGACCGCCCGTTGAAAAACTGGGTGTTTTTGTTTTTTTAAACCCTAAACGGACCAGGGCAGAAATCACCCGACCTCTATCTTTCGATACCAAATTTATTTAATTTCTACAAATGGTACTGCGAAGGGTAAAAAAAGGGTTGCTGTGCGCAGCCAAAATTGCTATTACCCCATATATATTGTACACAACGCAGATGTGTGACTAGTTAATTAGTAATCATTCAAAAGCCATTTGACACATTGACATGAAACTTCATTGAATTTTTTTTTATGGGATACTCTTATATGCCAAGGTCTGGTCGATATTCCAAGGGGGCACTCCCCTCGGCTAAAGCTATGGTCACAACCGAAAAAAGTAGCCTGCTTGGCGGCCGGGCGGTGAGTTTTTAGCCAATTTCGCCCGAGCACTGCTTGTTTTTAGGACATCGCTCAGTCGCCGCTGAAGTTTAGCGCGTAGTTAAAATTTGGACAGCGCCTGCTCACTCTTCACTCGCCGCCCAAAATATGCTCGGTTGTCCGGGCATTCGCCGCCCGGGCACCTACCTAATCTGCTAGGTCAAAGGCTGCTGAGCGGTCGCCGCCCTGGCCCTGCCCGGTCGTTGCTGGAAGATCAGTCGGTCACTGGGCGGAGAGTTCAAAAACGGTCTATCTAGCGGCTTCAAATTTTGACCTAAATCACTCGACGGCGAACGCTCAATTAGGTCAGTGCCCAGAAGGCGACCCCCTGGGCACCGAGCGTATTTTGGTGCCCCGCCGATCACTGGCCGGCTGCTGGGCAATTTCTTTAAAATCAGTTGGTGGACGGTGGGAGACTGCTCGGGAACTGGTGGGTCATCAGTCGGTCACTGCCGGGACGCCGCCGGGAGGAGCTCCCCGATTTCGCCCAGTTTTGACCTAAAATCAACCAGCGACCGACAGGAAATTGACAGGGCACCGCCCAGGCATCGCTTGGGCTCTACAAGCCTGCTCGACTTCTTCAAAAATTGTTGGGCGATGCCTAAATTCCAGCCGCGACCGAGCAGGCTACAAATCGGTCGGTCGCCACTCTGCAATGTGACCATAGCTTAAGAGAGTACCAAAATAAACAGACCCCTTTAGGATTAAATTGTAACGATTCTCCTTGGATCAGATATAGACCTAAAAGTTTAAAAACAAGCCTTGTTTTCTTCACTATACAAACTGTGCCCTCATTATAATTTATAGGATTAAGTTTACAAATATCTTACCATCTGAGGATGAGCATCGCACTCCTGCATCTTCTGTATGAACACAGTTATTGACTCCCCAACCACTATGGGGGCATGAAGAAAGCCTAAGCTCCGGGCCTAAACAAATCACTTCATCCAACCAGATTGGACCCAACCCGGAACGCACGTTGATTAATACGTCGACTCCTGGGAAGCCTAGCTGCCGGCAGGCTACGTTGGCATCAGTAGTATCCCAGTTGTCGTCGCATACAGTGCCCCATTGGCCATTGTGGTAGATCTCGACCCGTCCCTCATTCGGGGTCGCTTCTCCAGCGAGTCTTAGCGATCCATCGGTAACTGGAAAACAAATTCAAAGTCTCATTTCAATAGGTTTATAGTTCCACCCATGCGGATGTGGAGTCGGGAGTTGGTCTAGCAAAGGGCTTCTCGAAGTCTGGACCGTAAGGGGTCGTGTCAATCTGGACATGGTTTTTTTTTTCTTTTCTTGTTTTTTTTTTGGGGGGGGGGGGTTTTACCATACCCTAAAAGGACCAGGGCAGAAATCACCTGACGCCTATCTTTCAATACCAAATTTATTTAATTTCTACAAAAGGGCACAAATGGTACTGCGAAGGGTAAAAAAAGCATAGATATTACCCCGTATATACTGTATACAATGCAGATATGTGACTGGTTAATTAGTAATCATTCAAAAGCCATTTGACACATAGACATGAAACTTCATTAACTTATTTCTCATGAGATACTCTTTATCAATATGCCAAGGTGTGGTTGCTATTCTAAGGGGTCACTCCCCTGACCCCCTCGGCTAAGAGAGTAACAAAATAAACAGACCCCTTTAGGGTTAAACTGTAACAATTGCCCTTGGATCAGATAAAGACCTACATGTAAAAGTTTAAAAACAAGCCTCGCTTTCTTCACAAGTGCCATTATTATAAATTATAGGATTAGATAGTCATTTCGGAACATTTACATCAATTCCTTCATCTTCCAATCACTCCATTTGTGACAATGTTTATTTGCTTAATCAGCCTATTGCCGGGAAACGCCGAAACGGTGCCACTTTTGAAGTTTTCCCATTTATATATTTACCTTAACTTCCACCTTTGACTGTCTATGTGCAAACTGTAAGGACAGTACGTACCGGTATGTATAATATAACAAACTTATATGAGGGGAAATAATTGATGAATCAACTAAATATATATATGCCAATTGCTTCAGACCTTTTAGCTTTCATGGAAATCACATCCGGATCGTGAAGAAAAATGTTGAGAACCCCTTGGTCTAGCGGTACGTTCACTTGTTAGCTATTTGTCTTCGCCTACAAACTGGCTCAGCAGACCCTGGTTCGAAACCGAGTCACATATTTTGGATGGTGACGTTAAAGGTCTGTCCCCAGACGTATATAATCATTTCTGATTAATACACGTCTGTAAAATTTGTTAAAACGTACACACACACGCACCTATTTGGTACTCCTAAAGAAGGACTGCTGGGTTTGAAATCGGATAGAGAGTAAAGAGAGAAAGATTCTCCTGTGTTGTGTTCTTTGCTTTTGATCAATTACAACTTTAAATATTCATAAATCCTTATCCTAAACTTCTACTGGTTTCACTTGTGTTTCTGCTTTAATTAAAAGTAACTTACCGTAAATCTCTGTCTACAAGACGCACTTTTTTCCGCCAGAAAAATTCAAAAGTCGGGGAGCGTCTTATACACAGGTACAGGATATTTTGAGTCCTCAAAATGCTACTTATTAGCGGTTTTCGAAAATGTCTGTGTCTCAACAAAAATAACATAATGGGAATAAAGAATAGGATCTACTATTTGAAGTTAACCTACGTTCCGAATTTGAAGGGGAGAGAGTTTTTTGTGTTTTTTCAGTCTCAATAAATGCCCCTTAACCCTAATAAGTCTGGGGGGGGCTGTCAAATTTTTGCCGCTGCATCAGAACACCTGAATGTTTGGCGCTGAAATTTCATGAGTTTTTCTCCTTGTGTCTCTCGCACATTTTGATTCCAAATTTGTAATGGGCGGATCTATGGTTTGGGTGTTATGTGACACACCCCATAAAACTAGCCTGTCCAAATTTCTGTTTGGACTCAGAGAAAAATTTGTCTGGGCTTCATTCTGCAGTTGTTCCTTTGGCTGTTATCTTTAGTTTTAAAAACGACATTGTTAATATTAATTGTGACAAGTTCACAGGCACAAATCGGCGCCATTAACTTCCCTTCGTATCAAAATGAAAGTCGCTAGGGTTTTCTAACGTACTATGGTATCTGCTAAACAGCAAACAAAAAACACTTTAATTTCTTCCTTAAAAATAGGGGTGCGTGAAAAAATATATTTTCCTGCTGGTCAAAATGACTAGGGCAGTAGCCATTGTGGTAAATCTCGACCCGTCCCTCATGTATGGTCGCTCCTCCAGCAAGTCTCAGCGATCCATCGGTAACTGGAGAACAAATTGAAGTCTTATTTCATTAGGTTCATAGTTCCACCCATGTGGGTCCTAGGTCTTGTTTTGACGGGAGTCGGGGGTTGGTCTAGCAAAGGGCTTCTCAAAGTCCGGACTGCAGGGCGTGTCAATCCGGACCACCCGTCAAAAACTCTGGGGGGTTTTTTTTTTCAAACCCTAAAAGGACCAGGGCAGAAATCACCCGACCTCCATCTTTCAATACCAAATTTATTCAAATTCTACAAAAGGGTATAAATGGTACTGCGAAGGGTCAAACAAGGGCTGCCCTGTGCGCAGCCAAAATAGATATTACCCTATATATTGTACTTAATGCAGATATGTGACTGGTTAATTAGTAATTAATCATTCAAAAGCCATTTGACACATAGACATGAAACTTCATTGACTTATTTTTCATGAGATACTCTTATCAATATGCCAAGGTGTGGTTGCTATTCTAAGGGGTCACTCCCCTCGGCTAAAAGAGTACCAGGTACCAAAATAAACAGACCCCTTTAGGATTAAATTGTAACAATTCCCCTTGGATCAGATAAAGATCTAAAAGTTTAACAAGGGAAACGCTCTAGGCGGTCTTGCCTTCATTCGATATGATGAAATATTGAGGTTAGGAGTAGTTATAGGCAGGGTGGTCCATTAGTAGGCCCCAAAAAATGATATCCTTTGAAAATAATCATAATTTTAAAGTGAATATTGACTAAGAATCGTCAGAAGAATTATTTACTATTATTGTAACAAGATTGATCAATTTAATGAATTTTGAACATATAACAAAAATTGATTTATTAATGCTCATATTTAAGTTGTGAAAACATAATCCAAGTCTACTGACCTAAAATGACCTTTGACCTTGTGACCTGGAATTTGTGTCATGATTTGTGATACTTGATTTGTGATACCCTCATGTGTACAAGTTTCTGGAAATTTGAACAAACACTTTTGAAATAATGATAAAAATTCAAAATCTGGATGTTGATGCCACAACAAAGTCTAAGTTTGCAGATCTGAAATGACATTTGGCCTTGACTTTGTCACCTAAAAGACTACCGTACTCACATGATTGGTGATACATGATAACCCTTATGTTCAAGTTTCATAGAATAGGAATGTATACTTTCAAAATCTTAACCTGATGCCACAAAAAAGTCTCAGTTTGTTGACTGGAAATGACCTTTGTCCTTGACTTCGTGACCTTAAATTTTCCTCACATGATTGGAGATACCTGATAACCTTATAGTCTAAGTTTCATGGAATAAGAACTTATACTTTCAAAATAATATTAACAGTTAAAAAACTTAACCTTTTTCCTGGTCCTAATGTACGAAACTAACGAAAGATACCTCATGAAAAATAAATCCTAGCTAGAAAGATATGTCATGGAGTTGCCAATTTGCTTTTGATCAATTACAACTTTAAATCCTTATCCTGAACTTCTACTGATCTCTTTTACTTGTTTTTCTGCTTTGATTGAAAGTAACTTAGGATCAGGATGGACTTCCCCTTTAACTTTACATATATCTTACCAGATAGGCATCGCACTCCTGCATCTTCGGGATGACCACAGTTATTGACTCCCCAACCTCTATGGGAGCATGAAGAAAGCATAGCCTCCGAGCCATCACAAGCCACTTCATCCAACCAGATTGGCCCCAACCCGGTACCCCCGTCAATTAATACGTCGACTCCCACGTAGCCTAGCTGCCGGCAGACTACGTCGGCATCAGTCGTATCCCAGTTGTCGTTGCATACAGTGCCCCAGTAACCATTGTGGTAAATCTCGACCCGTCCCTCATGTATGGTCGCTCCTCCAGCAAGTCTCAGCGATCCATCGTTAACTGGAAAACAAATTCAAAGTCTTATTTCAATAGGTTTATAGTTCCACCCATGCAGGTCCTAGGTCTTGTTTTGATGGGAATCGGGAATTGGTCTAGCGAAGGCTTCTCAAAGTCCGGACCACAGGGCGTGTCAATCCGGACCTCCCGTCAAAAACTCTGGGTGTTTTTGTTTTTTTAAACCCTAAAAGGACCAGGGCAGAAATCACCTGACCTCTATCTTTCGATACCAAATTTATTCAATTTCTACAAAAGGGTACGAAAGGAACTGTGGAGGGTAACAAATTGTGGCCATTGTGGTAAATCTCGACCCGTCCCTCATTCGCGGTCGCTCCTCCAGCAAGTCTCAGCGATCCATCGTTAACTGAAAAACAAATTCAAAGTCTTATTTCATTAGGTCCGTGGTTCCACCCATGTGGGGGCTCCTAAAGAGGGCTGTTGGGTTTTGAAATGGGATTGAGAGTAAAGAAAGAAATCTTTGTTTGTGTTGTATTCTTATTTAATGACTACCCTTGACTGTTATTAGAGAGAAGAAGAAAAATAAGGAATAATATTTCTAGGTATTCTTTAGTGAGTGGATGAAGTCCACAAAAAGATTAATAAACTCAGTAATATAAGCAGAGAGAGACCCAACATTGTGAACAGCTTGATGATTCGGATTCAAATCCCAAGTAGTTTCCATGAAAAATGATGTGCTTTTAACAAAAAGGTCTTCTCCTTTGAATGTACAACATGTTTTGTATATATATTGTGAATCATTAGACTATCTAATGTATTGTTGTCTCTTCAACCCCAAGAAGCGCAGACGGAATGGAATGTAAGTAACCACTTAGACCTCCCATCTTTCTGGATTATTGTATTTAATGTGAATGCTATTCATGCATGTACCCCTCAGGTATCGGTAAAAGACAGTATTTCCACAATGAATGTCCCAGCCGGGCAAAAAGGGCTGCAGCAAATACTACAGCAGAAAGCAAAATAGAGGATCATTTGTTGAACCTGTTCACATCTGATGATTTCTGGTAGCATTTCTGTGAGAAGGGCATATAAAAATACATGAATTTTATGGTTCTAGAACACCTTAATTCCCCCTAGACAACTACCCTCCGGATAACCCACCCCTAGGATAACCACCCTCTAGGATAACCACCCCCAGGATAACCATCCTCTAGGACAACCACCACTCCGGATAACCACCCTCTAGGACAACCACCCTCTAGGATAACCACCCCTCCGGATATCCACCCTCTAGGACAACCACCCCTCCGGATAACCACCCTCTAGGACAACCACCCCTCCGGATAACCACCCTCTAGCTAGGACAACCACCCCTCCAGATATCCACCCCTCCAGATATCCACCCCTAGGATAACCACCCCTCCGGATAACCACCCTCTAGGACAACCACCCCTCCAGATAACCACCCCTCCAGATAACCACCCCTCCAGATAACCACCCTCTAGGACAACCACCACTCCGGATAACCACCCTCTAGGACAACCACCCCTCCGGATAACCACCCTCTAGGACAACCACCCCTCCAGATAACCACCCCTCAGGATAACCACCCTCTAGGACAACCACCCTTCCAGATAACCACCCTCTAGGGCAACCACCCCTCCGGATAACCACCCTCTAGGACAACCACCCCTCCAGATATCCACCCCTAGGATAACCACCCCTCCGGATAACCACCCTCTAAGACAACCACCCCTCCGGATAACCACCCTCTAGGACAACCACCCCTCCAGATAACCTCCAGGACAACCACCCCTCCAGATAACACCCTCTAGGATAACCACCCCTCTGGATAACCACCCTCTAGGACAACCACCACTCCGGATAACCACCCTCTAGGACGACCACCCCTCCGGATAACCCGGCCCCCTCTAGGACAACCACCCCTCCAGATAACCACCCCTAGGATAACCACCCCTCCGGATAACCACCCTCTAGGACAACCACCCCTCCGGATAACCACCCTCTAGGACAACCACCCCTCCGGATAACCACCCATAGGATAACCACCCCTCCGGATAACCACCCTCTAGGACAACCACCCCTCCAGATAACCACCCCTAGGACAACCACCCCTCCAGATAACCACCCTCTAGGACAACCACCCCTCCAGATAACCACCCCTAGGATAACCACCCCTCCGGATAACCACCCCTCCGGATAACCACCCCTCCAGATACCCACCCCTCCAGATAACTACCCTCTAGGATAACCACCCCTCCAGATAACCACCCTCTAGGACAACCACCCCTCCAGATAACCCCCCTCTAGGACAACCACCCCTCCGGATAACCACCCCTCCGGATAACCACCCCTCCAGATAACCACCCTCTAGGACAACCTACCCACCAGATAACCACCCTCTAGGATAACCACTCCTCCGGATAACCACCCCTCCAGATAACCACCCCTCCAGATAACCACCCTCTAGGACAACCACCCCTCCAGATAACCACCCTCTAGGGTAACCACTCCTCCGGATAACCACTCCTCCGGATAACCACCCCTCCAGATAACCACTCCTCCGGATAACCACTCCTCCGGATAACCACCCCTCCAGATAACCACCCCTCCAGATAACCACCCCCTAGTATAACCACCCTCCAGATAACCACCCTCTAGGACAACCACCCCTCCGGATAACCATCCCTTCGGATAACCACCCCTCCAGATAACCACTCCTCCGGATAACCACTCCTCCGGATAACCACCCCTCCAGATAACCACCCCTCCAGATAACCACCCCCTAGGATAACCACCCTCCAGATAACCACCCTCTAGGACAACCACCCCTCCGGATAACCATCCCTTCGGATAACCACCCCTCCAGATAACCACCCTCTAGGATAACCACCCCTCCAGATAACCACCCTCTAGGACAACCACCCCTCTGGATAACCACCCTCTTGGACAACCACCCCTCCGGATAATCACCCTCTAGGACAACCACCCCTCCGGATAACCACCCCCAGAATAACCACCCTCTAGGATAACCACCCCCAGGATAACTACCCTCTAGGACAACCACCCCTCCGGATAACCACCCCTATGATAACCACCCTCTTGGACAACCACCTTCTAGGTTATTTCTAGGGGTGGTTATCCGGTGAAGGTTGTCCAGGGGGTAGGTGTCCGGATACGGTATTTTATTGGTAGGTGGCAGGTATGGAGGAGACTCAAGAGGAGCAGTAAGCCTGGTGAGCCAGGCGAGGGAAAGACTAATAGGAATGATAGCCAACAATGAAATGCTTAAATATGAATGCTGCATTTCTAGTCTTCCCTGACTGGTCTTTATGTGCAGGTTTTGCTGTAAGAATAACAATGATAATAACGATAATGTGTCTGGTTTACCCAGGGTAGCCTCATCAGTATTTATACTTTTCTTTCTGAGGGGCCTGCAATCCTATTATTACCCCGGTACACAAGGGTATAGTCAAACCTGCTTTAGCCAGCACCTGTATAGAAAGACCACCTGTTTATAAAGACATTTTTCTTGTATTCCTTCACTGATGTTTCTCATTGTGACACATGTTAAAGTAAACCTGTCTGAAAGACCACTCGCCCAGATAACAACTACTTTTGTTCTCCCCTTGGCAGACTTTCTATACAGGTTTTGCTAAACTTGGAATTCGGATCCAGTTTAAGGATTTTAGATTTTAAAGCAATCTTACCAATACTTGTCTGACATCTGACCCCTACATCTTCAGCATGACTGCAGTCGTTGGTTCCCCAGTCGCGGTGGGTGCACGATGACAACGACGTCTCGCCCCCAATACAATTCACGTCGTCTAACCAGATTGTTCCGGTTCCTTCACCGAAGGCAGCCTTGGCGTGAGTTTCTGCATTTCCTGGGTAACCCAGCTGCTGACAAACCACCTGTGACTCGTGGCTGGCCCATGTATCGTCGCATACTGTACCCCACGATGACCGGTAGTAGATCTCCACTCGACCTTCAGCAGCAGTTGATCCTCCCACCAGCCTCACATCTACAGAATGAACAACAAAAAGGAATTGCTGTGAACGAAGATTTTAAGTTCTCTTGATTTCTAGAGAATTAAACTGGGTCCAGTTTCCTGAAACAGTCATAAGTCAAAGTTCGTGGACATTCTATAGAAATGTGTGTTGATTCTACGAGGCAAGTTTCAGTGGGAACTGTGAGAAGTTAGCCCCTTGGCTTGAAATAATTGGACATGACCATATACTGATAAAATCAAACTTAAAAAAACTTGTTCTGGCATTCTATAGGTAAATGGTTAAGGAGAATGAAGAGAAAAAAGGGATAGCATAAAACCCTGCATATGGATATACAATGTAGGGTACGCACGGCGCCCAAGTCTGACTTGGAATTGGGTTCCGTCACTTCTGTGCACACCCTATTATGCCAGCATGTATGCTTGTGATAAGTAGTCTACTTAACAAGACATTTTAAATTTCACCGGGAGTGTAAAGTTAAACTGCAATTTTTCTTTGTAGAAGAAACATTTGAAACTCATAGTTTGACTACAGTATAGCAACATATATGGAATCCCTTACTTCAAAAGCATATCATGTTTTGGTTGGTACAGCTAAAAGAGCTGTGATTGGGCAAAATGGGACAGAATGTGATGATACTCTGAATTAATTTAGGGTTTTTGTAATGTAAATTGCATGTATCATTGGGTCTTTATCATCAGGAACACATAGAAGGTGGGTGAGCAAATCACTTTCACTCCGGTATCAAATGTTCACATTTTTTGTTAAATTCTTGACCAATTTCAAAGTGCTTTGTACGGGAAGAAAGAAGAGTCAACTAGCAAACCCAAAAGCCAGTGTGTAAGGCTAGTTTTGGTGCGGGAAGGGGCGATTACGAACGCATTGTTTAGGTTTTGTTTACATCGCTCTTTACGCAGTTGCAGGGGTATGCATCTTAGTTAGTGGCTTAGCACTTAGCACTTAAAAACTTTGACACTTACAACACTTAGCTAGAACACTTAGACACTTAGCACTTAGAGACTTCGGTGGAAAGGGCTTAGAAGTACCGTTTCGATTGTTATTATTATCATTATTATTCATTATTTATTTATTATCATCCTATGCCATATCAATATCATATTTCATATTATCACCTAAAGATAGATAGAGAGAGAGAGATGGAAGAAAAGGAAATGAGAGAGAGAGAGAGAAAAAAAAAATGAGAAAGGGAGAGAGAAAATAAGAAAGAGAGAGAGAGAGAGAGAGAGAGATAGCATGTTATAAATGACAGTGAGAAATGACCTAAGGCTACACAGTGGTACAGGTGCCAATTAAGGCATGTTTTTCCTTCTTTCTTGTGATTGAGATAATCTACTCCCCTGAAAGCAAGATATAGAATGCAAAATGATATTCTACTTCATATGTTATGAAGTCTGATCAAGAACACAAATAAATACGAAGAAAACAAAAAAAAATTGAAATTTTATGTACAAAAGGCATGGAGAGTTGTCCACAGATGATGACATCAAATTAAATACCGCCCTCTAGTGACTAGTCATTTCAAAAAGCTCTAACTTCCTTATTCCTTGCCTGATTTTGTTCAAATTTTCACTGATTTTATTCAAATCTTTTAAAATTTACAATAAAAGTAACTAATTAGTATAAAGGTTTTGGTTCCCTTTAAATTTAACACGCGTTTCAATGGGAGCTTTCTATTTTTAATTCTACACTACAATGGTGACCATAGTTACTGTGTTTACACAGTGATCCGCCTCGAGGGTTGAAGCCGGGTTGAAGCCGCGAGGGGGTTGAACCCTCTAAAGCGCGCAAATGTGATCGTGTTTACACAGCAGAAAAAAAAAGGCGGCTTCAACCCTCGAGACGGATCACAATGACGTCACAATGCGGGGAATTTGACCTACATCAGCTTATAAGCGCGGCCTATTTATACTTGTAAGGTTGCGCATAAAAGAAAGCTATGCGCGCATATCAGTACTACCATTTTCATTGGCTGCTCACGTCGGCCCACATCTTCAGCTAATGAATAATACATGAAGTGTGCAAGTATCAATAAACAGTCTGTAGTATATTAAATGAAGAATGTTTATCAACAAGAGCACATGCTTCTCGTAAAACTAGTCGCTCATTCAGAGCAAATCCATTAATATATGGCACACATTATTAACGATATGGAAGAGATTTTTATATACTCAATCGTCAGAAATATCATAAATTATATGAAAGAGAGAGAGAATGTGAAAGGTAATTTTCATAAATTCGTAACAATACTGGTAATACTAGTCTATGCAAGCAGTGTATCAAATTCACCTCAGATACGTGTTAACTCTATCATGAATCTATAGACTAGGCCTAAGGCCATACCGTTCCATTAACAATGCTGTAGCCTGTTACTGTTAGTAATACAAGTGACCAAACTCCAATTACCAACTCTTGTTCACAGGCGTAGAAGGGGGTACATGATCGATGTGTACAAGTACTTGAATGGCTTGTACAATGTGCAAGAGATTCCCTTTAAGTTGAGTACAGAAGATAGAACTCGAGGTCACTCTAGAAAACTGGAAAAGAAATATTCAAGACTAGATATCAGAAAATACTTTTTTAGCAATAGAGTCGTGGAGCTGTGGAATAGTCTCCCAGAAAACGTTGTGGCAGCTGGGTCAGTCAACTCATTCAAGAATAGACTGTATAGTCTCTGGTCAAAGAATGCTAGCCTTCTGTATGAGCCGGTCGAGATGTTGTTCGTTGTTTCATGTTTTACACAACCTCCTCCCTCCACAAATCGCAGTTATTATTTTAATAAAAGGTAGATTTTTTTTTTTCTATCTTTCATTTCAATGAAGTGAAAATATATTAATCATGATACTTGAACATTCATAAAAAAGAAAAGTTAAATTCATTCAAGGCAACATATAGACTCTAAATCTAGTCTAACGGAGATTGGCAAATTGGAACACTTTTTTTTGTTGAAGACTGATCAAGCAGGGGCAAAACTGAGAGCAGATGAGGTCTAGCTATCTAGCTGGCTTTAACCCTCGAGGTGGATCAGATCCCGTTTACACGACAAAAAATTGCCGGGTTGAAGCCGCGAGGCGGGTTGAGACCTGCAATTCTGGTGGATTCAAAAGGCGGCTTCAACCCGGCTTCAATCCTCACTGGGATCCCGTTTACACACATAAAACTGCAGGTTTCAACCTAGACCGAAAACTTCAGTCTCTCTAATCGTCGGTTGTGCCACTGAGACTACGTCTGGCTCCACTAGACCTCCGATTGGGGAATGACAACAAATGTCAGTTTTATTAAAGAAATGACCCAAATCAGATGGTTATTTCTGTCTAGCTTCAACCTAGACCGAATTTTCCGTCTCTTTCGTTCGTTAGCCTCTTATTGGGGTAGGGTCGGCCGGCTCTACCCCAATAAGACTTAAGAGGCTAACGAACGAAAGAGACGGAAGACCGAAAACTTCAGTCTCTCTAATCGTCGGTTGTTCCACTGAGACTACGTCTGGCTCCACTAGACCTCCGATTGGGGAATGTAAACAAATGTCAGTTTTATTAAAGAAATGACCCAAATCAGACGGTTATTTCTGTCTAGCTTCAACCTAGACCGAATTTTCCGTCTCTTTCGTTCGTTAGCCTCTTATTGGGGTAGGGTCGGCTCTCTCTTTAGAGACGGAAGCCGTTTATACACATGTCCTTGCTAACGCCACGGCCAGTATTGGTCGTAGCGTTTTGCCCCCAAAATCCCCCAAAATGTCATTTTACCTCGAGCATGTTATATTGTAAATTAGGCCTAGAAGTCTAGGCTATAATAAATCAGTTCCACTTACCAACTTGACTGAAATAATCAGTTTAATAGTCCCTTTTTAGGAAATTATGGGTCAAAATCGGAATCCATGTTGAAAAAGATTTTCAAAATGGATTTCGATTTTGACCCATAATTTCCTAAAAAGGGACTATTAAACTGATTATTTCAGTCAAGTTGGTAAGTGGAACTGATTTATTATAGCCTAGGCCTAATTTACAATATAACATGCTCGAGGTAAAATGACATTTTGGGGGATTTTGGGGGCAAAACGCTACGACCAGGACTGGCCGTGGCGTTAGCAAGGACATGTGTATAAACGGCTTCCGTCTCTAAAGAGAGAGCCGACCCTACCCCAATAAGAGGCTAACGAACGAAAGAGACGGAAAATTCGGTCTAGCTTCAACCCGGCTTCAACCCCCTCGCGGCTTCAACCCGGCTTCAACCCTCGATGCGGATCACTGTGTAAACACGGTAATTATTGACCGCGCGCGCCCGTACAATTTCTCCTAATAAACTAGCAAAAATCACATTACATAATGTCTGTTACGTACCGTATTGTTCTTGGGCAAGAATTGTCTGAAATAGGTCAGGAGTTAAAAGGAGGAAAAGGCTTCCAATAAACGATATTAAACGTAGGTCCATCATCATGCCATATCAGATATTACGCTGCAACATTGATATGAGGGCTAGCAAGGCCAAGGGTAGCGCCGGGGGTAGCGCGCGCTAAGCTAGCTAGCTAAACTAGCTAGTTGGCTCGATGCAATGAAGTCTTCGCGTAGAGGGGGCGTGGTCTAAAGAGCAAAAGGAAAACATTGATTTACGGTACGGTATTGCGAAATGACCATGACCATGTGTTGTGAGGATGATGACGTAAGCGATAGAAATAGGTGGTTGCAATGTTCGATGTTGTTATTGTTTTGTTTTTGTAAGCAGGCGCGGATCCAAGGAGGGGGGGGGCCGAGCGGGCCTTGCCCCCCCCCCCCCGCAAAAGAAAAAGAGAGAAGAAAGGAAAAGATCGAAGGGAAAGGGAAAGAGGAGAGAAAGGGAAAGAAAAAGAGGAAGAAGAAAAGAAAAGGGGGGAGAAGGAGATCGGGGGGGGGGGGCCGAAAGGGCCTTGCCTCCCAGGCTGTTGACCCCCCCCCCCCAATCAAAAAAATAAGAGAGAAGGAAGGAAATGGAAAGAAAAAAGGAAAAGAGGATATAGCAGTGGCGTACTGGGGAGGGGGCTAATTAGGGGAAATCAAATTCAAACGTGGTTTATTTCTAATTCCATAACGGTGGATTACAAATAATGCAATTAGAATAATTTTCGAGATTTTTCCTCACTTTTTAGTAAATTATACGTTTTTATGTGTTTGTTGGAAAATGAAATATGATTCTTGAGGTTCCTACATGTCAGGGCCCGAGGAACAGCGGGGATCGGGAGCCTCGAGCCCCCCCCCCCCCCCCACACTTTTTTTGAAAAGGTATATTAAAGAAAAATACAAAAGAAAGAGAGCAAGAAAAAATAACTGCCAGTGTCAAAAAATAATGAGGCATCAAAATATGGTCACCTGACCGTGATTAAATGCCTAAAACCCCTAAGCTTCCGGGGGCTGTGCCCTCTGGATTCCACCTAGGGCCATAAGGCGGGCCCTTAGATGCTCTGTGACGGTAATTTAATGCCTAAAACCCCTGATTTTGGGGGGCTCCGCCCCTGGCCCCCACGCCAAATAGTGTCCTGCCAGTGTCACAAAATAATATGGTATTAAAAAAAATGCTCATCTGACCGCAATTAAACGCCTAAAACCCCTGAGCTTCCGGGGGCTCCACCGCGCTTCGACCCCACCAGAGGCCCGCCTTACCTGACCGTAATTTATTGCCTTAAACCCCTGAGCTTCCGGGGTCCGACGAGGTATCAAAATGTGTTTATCTGACCGCAGGCGCGTAGCCAGGGGGGCGGTCGCCCCCACAAAAAAAAATCGCCGGCCAAAAAAAAAAAAAAAAAAAAAAAAAACGAGAGAAAAGGAAGAGGACGTAGGAAGGAAAAGGAGCAGACAAAGAACATCTTTGGAATGAGAGTAGAGAACGGCACAACGCATCGTCTTCTTTCTCTAATAATTTAATGAAACTTCAAGCTTCCGCGCTACACGCAGGAGGGGAGGGGGTGGGGGGAGGACTGAATTCAGACAAGGATTAAGAGTCGAGAACAGTACAGCGAATCGTCTTCTTTTTCTCATAATCTTATGAAACGTCAAAAACTGAATTCAGTCGAGGATTAAGAGTCGAGAACGGTAAATCAAATCGTCTTCTTTCTCTAATGATTTAATGAAACGTAAAAGCTTCCGAGCTTCGCGCGGGAGGGGGGAAGGAAACTAAATTCAGTCGAGGGTTATTTTCGAGAATGGTACAACGAATCGTCTTCTTTCTCTAATGATTTAATGAAACTTAAAAGCTTCCGCGCTTTGCGCGAGGGGGAGGGGGCCTGAATTCAGACGAGGATTAAGAGTCGAGAACTGTACAACGAATCGTCTTGTTTCTCTAATGATTTAATAAAACGTAAAAGCTTCCGCGCCTCGCGCGGGAAGGGGGGGAACTGAATACAGACGAGTATTAAGAGAGTCGAGAACGGTTCAACGAATCGTCTTCTTTCTCTAATAATTTAATGAAACGTCAAAGTTTCTGAGCTTCGCGCGTGAGGGGAAAACAGAATTCAGACGAGGATTAAGAGTCGAGAACTGTACAACGAATCGTCTTGTTTCTCTAATGAATTAATGAAGCGTAAAAGCTGAATTCAGACGAGAATTAAGAGTCGAGAACTGTACAACGAATTGTCTTATTTCTCTAATGATTTAATGAAACGTAAAAGCTTCCGAGCTTCCCGCGGGAGGGGTGGGGGAACTGAATTCAGACAAGGAATAAAAGTCGAAAACGGTACAACGAATCGTCTTCTCTTTCTAATGATTTAATGAAACGTAAGAGCTTCCGCGCTTCGCGCGGAAGTGGGGAACCTGAATTCAGACGAGGATTAAGAGTCGAGAACGGTAATACGAATCGTCTTCTTTCTCTAATGATTTAATGAAACGTAAAAGCTTCCGAGCTTCGCGCGGGAGGGAGGAAGGAAACTAAATTCAGACGAGGGTTATTTTCGAGAACGGTACAACGAATCGTCTTCTTTCTCTAATGATTTAATGAAACTTAAAAGCTTCCGCGCTTTGCGCGGGAGGGGGGGGGGGCCTGAATTCAGACGAGGATTAAGAGTCGAGAACTGTACAACGAATCGTCTTGTTTCTCTAATGATTTAATGAAACGTAAAAGCTTCCGCGCCTTGCGCGGGAAGGGGGGAAACTGAATACAGACGAGTATTAAGAGAGTCGAGAACGGTTCAACGAATCGTCTTCTTTCTCTAATAATTTAATGAAACGTCAAAGTTTCTGAGCTTCGCGCGTGAGGGGAAAACAGAATTCAGACGAGAATTAAGAGTCGAGAACTGTACAACGAATCATCTTATTTCTCTAATGATTTAATGAAACGTAAAAGCTTCCGAGCTTCCCGCGGGAGGGGTGGGGGAACTGAATTCAGACAAGGAATAAAAGTCGAAAACGGTACAACGAATCGTCTTGTTTCTCTAATGAATTAATGAAGCGTAAAAGCTGAATTCAGACGAGAATTAAGAGTCGAGAACTGTACAACGAATCGTCTTATTTCTCTAATGATTTAATGAAACGTAAACGCTTCCGAGCTACCCGCGGGAGGGGTGAGGAACCTGAATTCAGACGAACATTCAGAGTCGAGAACTGTACAACGAATCGTCTTCTTTCTCTAATGATAAAATGAAACTTAAAAGCTTCCGCGCTTCGCGCGGGAGGGGGAACCTGAATTCAGACGAGGATTAAGAGTCGAGAACTGTATAACGAATCGTCTTCTTTCTCTAATGATTGAATGAAACGTAAAAGTTTCCGCGCTTCGCGCGGAAGAGGGAACCTGAATTCAGACGAGGATTAAGAGTCGAGAACTGTACAACGAATCGTCTTGTTTCTCTAATGAATTAATGAAGCGTAAAAGCTAAATTCAGACGAGAATTAAGAGTCGAGAATTGTACAACGAATTGTCTTATTTCTCTAATGATTTAATGAAACGTAAAAGCTTCCGAGCTTCCCGCGGAAGGGGTGGGGGAACTGAATTCAGACAAGGAATAAAAGTCGAAAACGGTACAACGAATCGTCTTCTCTTTCTAATGATTTAATGAAACGTAAGAGCTTCCGCGCTCTGCGCGGGTGGGGAAAAATTGAATTCAGACAAGGATTAAGAGTCGAGAACTGTACAACGATCGTCTTGTTTCTCTAATGATTTAATGAAGCGTAAAAGCTTCCGCGCTTCGCACGGGAGGGGGGAACCTGAATTCAAAGGAGGATTATTTCGAGAAAGGTACAACGAATCGTCTGGTTTCTTTTATGATTTAATGAAGCGTAAAAGCTGAATTCAGACGAGGATTGTAACAGTCGAGAACTGTACAACGAATCGTCTTGTTTCTCTAATGATTTAATGAAATGTAAAATCTTCCGAGCTTTGCGCGGGAGGGGGGGGGGGGAACTGAATTCAGACAAGGAAAGAAGTCGAAAACGGTACAACGAATCGTTTTCTTTCTCTAATGATTTAATGGAATGTAAAAGCTTCCGCGTTTCGCGCGGGAGGGGGGGGGAACTGAATTCAGACAAGGAATAAAAGTCGAAAACGGTACAACGAATCGTCTTCTTTCTCTAATGATAAAATGAAACTTAAAAGCTTCCGCGCTTCGCGCGGGAGGGGGAACCTGAATTCAGACGAGGATTAAGAGTCGAGAACTGTATAACGAATCTTCTTCTTTCTCTAATGATTGAATGAAACGTAAAAGTTTCCGCGCTTCGCGCGGAAGAGGGAACCTGAATTCAGACGAGGATTAAGAGACGAAAACTGTACAACGAATCGTCTGGTTTTTCTAATGGTTTAATAATTCGTAAAAGCTTCGCGTTTCGCGGAGGAGGTAGGGGGAAATTCGCCCGTCCCTGCACCCCCCCCCCCGCATTACGTCAGTGTAGGTCACAATTACGTACCAATATTTGGCTCGCAAAATTTCAAATTTGGGCCCCCCCCCCCCTAAAAAATTCTGGATCCGCGCCTGTTTGTAAGTCTTATAAAAACATGACCGCAAATCCTCTTATCCAGTGTTTTTCAACCAGGGTGCCGTAGATCCATTGGGTGCCGCGAGAGAAATTAAGGCCATTTAAAAATATATACATGTTTAGCGTCCCCGCCCGCTTCCTGTTTGGGAGCCCGCCTCATATTTTTTTTTTTTTTTTTTTGAATTAAAAAAAAAAAATTAAATTAAATAAAAACATGAAAAACACTGCTAAAATAGATCTATTTGTGATAAAATTTAAAAAAATTAAATAAAATGTTGGAGGCCATCTTGAAAAATAGCCCGACTGAAAGGGAAAATTTACCGAGCGGCCATTTTGAAGAAAAAAAAGGGAAAAAAATACCTCCTCGATCCTATTTTTCAAAAAAACAGGACGCTAAACATTTTTTTATTTTATTTGGCCTAAGGTAATTCCAAAAAAAGATGGAATAAACGTCGATTGCGTGAAACACCAAATATACGAAACCGCTATCTATAGTTATTTCATGAGGGCTAAGTCCCAAATACGGTTAAATTTAATACACCAGTTTACGGTTACATCAGTGCGCATGCGC